GAAAAGACAGAAAGAAAGTGACCAATTGCTTTTGAATGGGATTATCCAAGGGTGGTCATTAACAAGCAATGCAACAAGATTATTACCTAAAGTTTCGGAATTTAAATTCAGTTAAAATTGTGACCCGTAATACAAAATAATTTTATACCTAACCTGTGTTTAATATTCTTTGGTTTGGGATACTACTTAGTTTAAGTTTATTAGTACTCATTCTTATTTCGTGTGTAATACAGCGTGTGTTGAATCGTGTGCGAATTATGCAAAATATGTGCGAGTCTAGTGTATCTCAGGAGATGCTCCCGCCCAAAAGTGGAAAACACTATTCTATTGAGACTAAGGAAGTTATAAACAATGTTTATTTGACTCTCATTGAACGTGGTGCCAGCAAGCAAGCATCTTTAGAAGAAACGGCCACATTGACGGAAAATTCCAACATCAACTGTTTGGAAAATTGTTAATAATCCCATTTCAGAAAGGAAAAAAAGAAGCGATGCTGGCATTTTCTCGAGTGTAGATGAAAGTGATCAAGATATAATGCGGCGTAAAATTTACCAATTATGCTAGGAACAAAGCGTGTTTACATTAGATATCTTAATTAGGAGGCTTGAAAAAGATGAAACCGGTGTTAAATGTGGCAGAACTACCTTATGAAAGTGTATTCAACACATGGGTTTTAGATTTAAGAAAATTGACAAAAGGCAAGTGGTATCTTTTACATTTTGGAAATGGCGACTAGAATATCTAGAAAAAATTAGGATTTACAGAGAACAACAAAGGCGAATTATTTACTTGGATGATACCTGGTTCAACACTTATGATCCTCCGGAAAAGGGTTGGGTTGAGTCAACTGATAAGTGTAAAACAAACGCGCCATCAAAAAGAGGTAAAAGAATAACCATTTTGCATACTGGCTCTAACCATGGTTAGATTCCAAATGGACTTTCTCTGTCTGCGAAAAATATGAAAGACTTTTCTCTGCATTACCATGAAGACACCACCGCTGATTTATTCCAAACATTCCTCCTAATAGCGTAATTGTAATGGACAATGCAAGTTATCACAGTAGACAGTTGACTAAAACTCCTTCCTCATGTGGACACAAAAGCAACAATCCAAAACTACATGTATAATAAGGAAATTTATTTTCACGAAGATTATACCAAAAAGCAATTAATTGTGGTTCTACAAAGCTTGAAGCTGCAAAAGGAATACGTCTATGATAATTATGCAAAAAATCTAGGGCGTACAGTTTTAAGGCTTCCACCTTACCACTGTATATTTAATCCAATTGAACATGTTTGGCACCAACTGAAATCTGCCATTCGTCGTAACAATGTTTTTCCCCGTGTTAACTCCAATGTCCTCAAACTTATAGAAACCTAAGTTTTTAACATCCGTCCACAAAGTTGGGCAATTTCTGTTAAACATATAGGAAAAGCAGAACAATCGTATATCCATATTGCAAATAATATAGAACAAATAATAATTAGAACAGGCGATGATATATTATGTGAATAATTTTAAGTATTTTAAGTAGGGAATAAAAATAATTTGTAATTTTATTTTAGATTTAAACGTAAATACATACATAAATAAATAAATATTGTATAGTATCTTTCCTAACAAAACCCCAAATAATTAAATTCTAAGCAAAGTACGGACCTGTTCGGCCATACAACATTTTTACAGCTTGCCCGGGTCTTTCCTTAATTCGTATGAGTTAGTCACTTTCTTATATCTATGAACAGACTTTGGGTGAAGGCACGAACACCATTACATCAGATCCAAACGACATTCCGGTTGGTCTTGACGTAGACGACTAAAGTCCCTATTCCTCTCTCAACATTATTTCACATATATATTAAAATCCGAGAATCTGTAATCAAACCTTCTCATCTTAATTAAAAAAATCTTGTCTGGAATACATTTTTCTTGTAATGGCCAAATTTATGAACAAACGTTCTGGCGAAAAACCCCTCGACACCTTCAAACTCAAAACAACATTATGGAAATGCTACGTGGATGATACTTTAGGTTCATGTTCATGTCCCTCCTATAGCTCCGCCCCCACAAACAATATATAAGGAGGAAAAGAGTAGAACAGTGGAATGCGAGCCAGTTTCAGTTAAGTCCTGAAGAAATCAATACTATAGTCTGTGGAAGTTTCTTTGTAAAAATATGTTTTTAAGTGGTACAAAAAAATTAGTAAAAAAGTATACCGAAAACAGCTTTTGTCAGTAGATACCCAAATATTTAGATAAGGAATAGATCCTTCTATATTGACGGTTGTATATTGTTAATAACCCCATAACTACAACATATAACGTGGTCTTATTTGGACTAATACCCTAGTTAGGAGCACGTGCCAAAGGCATTAAAATAATTTAAAAAATATGTTATAGGAGGTTAATAAGACTTAAAACTGCTTTGATTTATTGGCAATTTTTAACGAAAATTAAATATTAAGGGCTTGCTAGTAATAGCATTTCTACTATTTTTCAAAAATACCAAAGACTATCAATTTGTTGAGAATCTTCCAAATCACTCTGGTAAACTACAACTAAAACCAAATAACTAGTAAAAAAGAAGTCATTAGGATACAGCCTGTTAAAAGGTACCTTAGTTGGCACAACTAACTCATTTTAGTTTGTCTACTTTTAATTCTGAAACTGTTCAAAATAACTAGTGGTATCGTGTAATGCAGGGTATTTTCTAATTGAATGTCAATAATTAAGGGCGTGATTTTTGGGTCCGTTTTAAAAAGAAAATTTCATATCAACATATATCCTAAACGTCTTAACTTTTGAGATACAGGGTGGTAAAGTTATCAAATGAAATATGTTTTTTTAATATCCGTAATACCATTTTTTATATTTTAAAGAAATTTGGAACACATCAAGAGCCATTATTTAGTGTAACAAAATTTTTCAAAAATACACTGGTGGGCATACGGAGTTTCACCTGTCGTTCCTTTAGTGTTAAATTGTAGTATAAATAAGTAAAAAAAAAATGGCACAATTTTATTATCGTTTTATTTTATCACATATAAGGAGAAAATAATCACTAATGTGTTATGCCCATGTTTCTCCCCGTTGAGAGTAAGGTTTCATAATAAAGGCTACTTTAAAAGATAGTAATAATAATAATAATAGCATTTTATTTTCAACAGGTAACATGACCCAGTTACAGGAAATACTAAATATAAATCATTCAATATATATACCAGGGGACGTAGAAACTAATCTTAAATTAACTAATCATATAACTAAAAAAAAAAAAGAAGGAAAGAACGAGAAAGAAAAGGATAAGACTTATCGGTACGGATAACCCGCCGCCAATCGCAGTTGCCGAAGTATGATAGTTTGTTGAAGCAGACATATTGTAAATAGGGTTTTGAAAATGGATATTGGACTGCGATAAGAAAAGTCGATTGATGTCTCCCTTTCAGCCGCGGCACATGAAAGCGTAATTGTTCCAAAAGGAAGGGACAATCGACTCCGTAATGAACCAACTTATAGAGAAATGAAACAGATTGCAAGTCTCTGCGCAAGCTCAGAGGTAGTATAGCGAACCTTCTTAGCAGAAGATCATGATCAACTCTTTACTTTAATAACCTTCTCTGCACACTCTCAATGGTCTGAGTGTGACAGTTATACATTGGTGATCATATCAGCGAGCCATAGTCAAGCTTGGACCTAACGTAACAGTTAAATAACAATTTAACAGTAGCTGAACTACAAAAATGCCTACAATTTCTTATTACGAATCCTAAAATTTGCATTTCACTGGAAACCATTTTAGTAATGTGAGGTACAAAACAGAACATCTGTTCAAATAAAATCCCCAGATCCTTGACAGTGGCAAGTCTAGTCAGGACAGTACCATCCATATTGTAATTAAAGACTATAGGAGTTTTTGTGCGGTGGTAAGAAACCACATTACACTTGCTGATGTTAAGATGCAATTTAGCTTTAGTACACCACTGACGGACAATATTGATGTTGTCCTGGAGAGTCATGCAGTCCGTGCCAGTTTCAATGCATTCATATAGTTTTAGGTCATCCGCATAGGCAAGCTTGTTGCAGATGATCAAAGATATGAGATCGTCTCTAAATATGTTGAACAGAAGAGGCCCAAGGTTAGAACCTTGAGGCACGCCAGAAGTTGGAACAAAAGGAACTGATCTAAACCCCTCAATCTCAGCAAACTGTCGACGGTTCACCAGATCAACACTGTAATTAGCGAATTTTTGAGATGCTTTTTCAATCAGTATGTGATGATCTATCTGGTCTAACGCTTTGTGGAAGTCAGTGTATATAACATCAACTTGACCTTGCTTGTTCAGGGAGTCACAGACATACGAAGACAAGGAGCATAAGTTGGTGATACTACAGACTACAGAAGGATCACCTTTTTTGAGAATAGGATAACCTTTGACTTATTTCCAAGGCTCAGGATAAACACCCGTTTCAAGTACCAGGTTAAAAGCGTGACATAAAGAAGAAGAGTCTCTCACGATAAAACTTGGTATGCCATCAGGACCGGCGGTAATTTTGTTTTTGAGTGCTTTGCTTGCTGACAAGACATTCTGGATAGTAAGCTTAGGTATGTTGACTAGTTCCGGATTAAAGGACACGCTTGAAGATGAACATGGATCTGGCTGGGATATGGTGTATACGCTACCAAAGTACTTAGCAAAAGCTGCAACAACCATATTAGGCTCATGGTATGGCTGGGATTCCCGAATCTGCCTTCTTCCGCTGAATAAATAACCAGAAATTGGTAGGACTATCATGTATACTTAACTCAGCACGACGAACAAAATCAGTATAGGCAATGCGTGACTGGAACTTAATTGACTTATGCAGCGGGGTATATCTGCCAAAATAATAAGAAGATTTGCGATCATTTCTTTGGTAAACCATGAAGGAAATCGCCTTCGTCTCGGTGTTGTAGTGGTCGTGCAAACGGCAACAATATTGTTTGAAAAGATGACTTACCCTAGTAGCTTCGTTGTATCCGATTATCACAGCAGTGTACCATTGGGTCGTACCTTCGGCCCTATAAACTTCCACCCTGTACCCTACCAGAACGCTCGGGGTAGTCAACAGGATGCGTTGGCCGTCTTGCAGCTCGATCCAGCGCTTCACGGCCAGACGCAATTCCGGATAATCCCGGACACCTCTTAACGATGGATCCCACTCCTGAAAGGAACCGTTGCAGTCAGTGTAGTTAATCTTCAATATTTTAAATTAAAAATTTCAATATGCTTGAAAAATAAATATGATATTTTCAAGATATATTTTTTATTGTAACAAATAGTCTTGTTTTAAAATGTTCAAATTTTTTATTCTTAAATTAGAAATTTATTTATAAAATATTACCTCCTTAAAACGATGATATATAATTTTACAAGTAGAAAAAATATGCCTACTTTGAAAATGTACTAATTTGTATTCTAAACGAACTAATATTCGAAAGAAAAGAACAAAACGTATAATACTTTCGATTTGTTCGATGGTTGTGCCGCATTCTCAGTGTTAGAAAATATAAGACTATAAAATAATTGTTTCAAAATGAAGATATTCTTCATGTAATAAGTTTGACATCCTCAATCTGAAAATACTTATAAAATATACTTTTCATTAGAGAATATAATCGTACACTACTGTTTGATTTGAGTTGACTCCCTATCGGTGGCTGCACGAAGTGTAACGATTGGTCATACGAACAGTGCAGTTCCAGTTTTTACCGGTTTAAGGTGTGGAACAACATTAACTACCCACATCCTACATATTTATAGGGAGTAGGGATTTTTGCCAAATAAATCCACGTCCAAATTTTGAGACATTTGCACCAACTGGTGGCAAGTTCTGGTGCAATAATGAAAATTATTTGTACGTAATATATATGGGTTTTTGAATAAAGTACCAACTTGCGGCATCTGGTATCTAGTAAAACAAAATTATTTATTATTTTTATTATATTATTTATAATTACACACCGATCTAGAGTACGGGAAGCGTCACTTTACCTCGTCAGTTTCGTTTCCCACGGATCCGAGCCACTTCGGACATTTCCGGGATTTTACCGCATGGGTTTGGGAGCAATCGGATGTTTCGGGAGATATTTCCCACGCTTTGAACTTTGACGTTTGTCAATTCCGACGGTCATGTCAGTGAACGTATTCTTGTTGTTTTGCGAAAATATACCCAAAAACTAACGGACGCAGAAAAAATATAATATACAACACGTTCGGTGAACTTTTTAACTCGCTCGTTTATTAAACAGTCGCTCCGCTCGTCTCAAATAAACCTCGTGAGTCAAATGCCGTTTACCACACTTGTTGCATAATATACCATTTCATATTAGAATAGTTAGCTACAAGTACCTATATAACTTTTTTAATAAAGAAAATGAAATTCATGAGAATCAACTTCAATATCTAAGATCCGACATACTAAAGGAATTATTTATTATTATTTATTATTAAGATAGTCTTTGTTTTGTTTATTTATGTACCTAGTTACATTTTTTTTACATTTACAAGAATATTTTATTCCTATTTAAAATAATTTTTCAAAGGTTTCAAACTGTTTTTGTGGGATATTAAACAAATAATTTCGTTTTAAAGTACTCCCTAATGATAACAAATTTTGGCTACTGTAACTCGATCCCAGAGTGGAATTACGGAATACGGAGTTGCCACTGGTGACTTCGCTGGTGCACCAGATGTAGACAATGAAATTGAGGATTTATTATATTTCCTGCGACCAACGTTTTCGATATCCCTGGAAAAAGTGTTTTGTGCTATTGTAACACTAACGGCAAACTGGACGATACTAGACGAAATAGACTTGCTTCTATTGTAGTTAAACATTTGCATAATTTCATTATTAAAAATTAAGTTTTATTATTATAATAAGTTGGTAATAATTTCAGAAAAAAATATAAGTAAATTGAGGAATGACCTGTTTTTGTTTCATTATATTTTCAATATTTTCTAAGGCATTTCTCATGTTTAAATTTTTTGATGAAAATAAAGATTTCACTGGATTCCAGCAAACGCTAAATTAGAATTTTTCGTTTAAGTTTCAACCATTTTTTTTATATTCACACTTTGTTTCACAATTTGCAATAAATCGGTATATCCATGGATAAGAAAATGCGTGGAAATTACTAAAAGAGTCTTTATAAGTTATTCATATATTTTTGAGAATTTTTTTTTGTTGCTTTTGTTATTGAATTTATTTTATGACTTGTCATGTTCCTATCTTCTTTGACACAGTGTTGAAATCGTTGTTTTTGTTTATATTTTTACTGCTTTGTTTAGATTAAGTATAGTTTTTTATTTTAAATAGCAGCAATTAACATGTTCATGCACTTTTTGAGTTGAACAGATATTTAAGACTTTTGTAACATTTGTTAATAAAAAAAGGCATAAACTAGATTCTCTTTTTTTGTCAAATTATTACTATAGGAAGCAGATAACAAACACTAACAGAAAATTTATAATACCAACAATTGCCTATACAAATTACAATTTTTTCTGAAGTCCTCTTTCGCTTTTCCATTTTTGGGATCAAAAGAAAAAGTTAGTACTGACATTTTTCGTTCGTCCAGAAGTAGTTTTAAAGTAACTATTTCAATGTTAGATAAAATCTGCATTTATAAATAATACAAAATAATAATAGAAATACTAGTTTTAGATAGATAAAAGTATATATATATCTCCTTCGGCATACCTTCTAAATCAAATGCGTTATTTATCACTTTTCTTTAACAATAGTAGAAATTTATTTATGTCGTAATTATTAATGTATTTTAGTAACACCTCTGAAAAAGTCAATTTTCAAAATAATTTCTTAACTATCTTTATGTGCTAAAAATTATTGACAATCAATGGTCAACAATATATTTTTGAAACAAGAGAAAAGGTTTCAATTATTAGAATGGTCTAAACCAAATTATACAAACATTTGCTTTAAAAATATCTCCATATCCACTCTCTCAATATAAAACAGGTATAAGATCAAACAAAATAGGTATAATTTGTTGGATGCACTTGACATAATGCTTTAATTTAAAACTAGCAAAAATTCAATTTAAAAATATGCTCATTTAAACATATATTTTATATTTTTAATTTTAATTTTAAATACTCAAACGAAGCAATCCAATTTTCTTTTTGTGTAAACAGGATGTGGAAACATCAGAAATTATCCAGCGTCTGCAAAGGGTACTTGGTGAGTCTGCAGAATCTCTTTACCGTTGGATCGTCGGTAAATTAAAAAAAAAAAAAACATTACTATTCTACCCACTAAAAGAGGACAGGCGAGATATGTCGTCAAATTAGTTTGTGGTAACCGGATACATGATCATTTGGGCGCCAAGACCGGGTGCCAAGACTCTTGGCAACGAACAATAACCACTGACCAAACGTGGATTCCTGGCGCAAACCTGAAGAAGGACCTCTCTAATATTTTATCCACAGAAACTGCAATTTCCAGGGAACTTTTGATTTTTTGCCACATAATCCAAAAAAATCCAAGGTTATAGCCCTGGTTCTCCCTGGTTTATTTTGAAAAAATTAGTAATTAAATGGTAACCTTGTACACAGGTTCAATTTTAAAACTAAAAACATTTAAAAAAAATGTTAAACATCTAGAAACATATAGAAATATATTTTAATGATTTTCTCGTTCTAAAATCAACTACAGATTTCACAAAATATGATATATACTACATGCAATAATGATACCTTGTATAGAAAATTCAAACATTTATGTTTCTTTGTTTCAGGCTTCTCCTGCCAGGAACTAGTTTATACTAGAAAGGACATTTATGAAATGGTGAAGGAGGGCCTAAAATACGGGTTATCTGATCTATCGAATCATCTGAAAACGCTGATTGCTGGACGTAGTGGAAAAACGATAGATATTCGCGAAGACATGAAGGCATCGTTTTCTACTCTATTTTCCAAAATCATACAGCAAATGCAAGCTGTCAACAGGACAGACCAAAAATTTGTGCATAAATTATTAATATATGGAAACCAATTGGACAACTATCCGAGGAGGCTCAAGAAGGCAGAAATAAAGACATAAAGAAGATTTATCTCGAAAGTTTTCTCGTGTAAAAACAATGGAAGATGTTTTCAATAGACTTCTTGTATGCTCCGATCTCTATATCTCTAGTCTTAGGAAGCTTCCAAAGAAAAAACTGAAACAATTTTCAGCCGAATGCTAATATCGAGAGGTTCTCAAGATTCGCTACCTGATGAAGATAATGACATTCAAATTGATTCCGAGTTAAATATCTTTTAGTTTTTCTGGTAACAATAAATATATTTCATATATTGAATCGCATTATCTTTATTACAATTATAAGTGAGGTAGCGAAAAGGGTCAAGGTCCGAACTACCCTCCAGATACCTAAGAAATATTAATAATAATCTGTGACAATTAAGCCACAATTTGTAAATATTTTCTAAATTCTCTTTCTCAACATAATCCTTATTAATTAATCCTCCCCCCCCCTCACCCTTAGGTCATTATTTTTATTTATAATAGGGCATTTTTTTCTCAAATAAGCCAAATATCAGCGGCTATGTTGTAAATGAATTTTTTTGAGCATATCAGGGATCAGAGAGCTTGTCAAACCACAGATATCAATTTTGATACAAATCCAACAGTGCTAAGATTTTTGACAGAGAATTTAAATTTTGAGACCACTGAGGGACGGTTTAAAAAAATTAGTTTATCGTTGGGATAAATGAATTCAGTGAAAGGAAAATTATATCGAAAAATTACATTTTAATATTGACTTAAATAAACAAAATAATAAAAATTTATAGCTAAAGTTCTACATCCAGAAATACCGCCAATTATAAGTGTTGTTATTACGATATCTCACATAAAGAATAAGTTATGAAGTTTAAAACAAAATTTTTTTTAAATAAAACGACCGCGATATTATCAACAAGCAAAACGTGTGGACCATTTTAGATAAATTAAGAACGTCCCCTAAAAAAAAACCGTATAAATTTTCTCTCTAAATACGAAGTGCGTCGGGTTCCAAATAAAAAACGTGTCGTTATGTAAATTTCTAATTTGCATAATGCAAACTTTAATGGTGGGGGTGCGATTCAAATTTATGGGTCGGGTCAGTCCTAATTTGCCGTGGGGTTTATTTTTGTATTTTT